TTAGCCTTTAGTCAGTACTTTTCCTAAGCTAGGACCAATCTTCCTCATTACTGTAACTAGTAGTTGCACAATACTCATTTGAATTTGTAAGTGACACATAGCTATCAAAACATTTGTCAATCTTACACGAGCTGGAACAAAAGCTTTGGTAGTTCTTTTAGGCATACATGAAATATTCAAAGAGGCATTTGTATTAAACTTCATGCTTCAAGTTATCTCTCTGAGAACCAGAAAAATCCAGTTTTCTACTAAAACTGCCTTGCTTTTGAGACAACATGTCTTGCATAGTAAAAAACTTTTACTGAATGTGCTGTATTTAGTATTCCCATAGAACCAAAAAAATATTAGTAAAGGAGACAAAATCTACAGATATATTAAAGCAAAAACTTATTTAACATATCAACCTGAATTTAAGGTCACTGCCACAAAGATGCCCCAAGAAGTTTATCTATAAAGGTAAACATACATAAGAAATTTTTCCTAAGCTCCGAACAGAAGTACAAGATGTTTTAAACAGTAGGTCCACTCAGGCAATTTGAAAAATGCAACACTGTTACATTCTTTAACTCTCAAAGTTAAAATATTGTATGTGTGCATGAGAAGGAAGGCCATATTCACAACTAGAAAGAGAAACATTTGACAGTGCAAGAACTTTACCAATGAAACAAGTAATGTTCTGATGAATTGTCACATGAAGTACATAAAGGAGGCAGCAAAACTTCCCTAGTAACATTTCTGCTATTCAGGTGTCACTTGTCAAATGCTTTCAGTTAGACAAAAACAGCTAAAACTACATCTTCTGTACTAATTGCTACACCTTCTGAAAGGTAATTAGGCAAGCATAAGGTATCTGCACAGAATCAGTGTATAGTCTAGGTCAGATGACATTTCCTGCTTAAAATCTTGTATGTGAACACAAATAACCATGCACCATAGACAAAATTAAAACAATTAATTAATGAGGGCAGAGCTGCTCCAGATGATATCAGCCACTGTCAGCTGTAACAAGAATATTTTCCTTCACACACACGTGGAAGGAGTTCTGCAAGAAAAACGAGTTACAAAAACACGTTAAGTACTGCAAATTAATTTATTTAAATAAATGAACAGATACAATATGTTATGTGAAGGGAGATAAAAGCAAAGAACAGAAGCTTGTCAAAGAATTTGTAAAGGGATACAACACAAACCAATGGCAAAATAACTACAAAACTATTTTCACATTCTAGCTGCTACTAGCATCTCCTTCCAAACCCAGAAAAGCTAGATTAAGTACCAAAACCTTAATAAAAAGTAATTTAACTGCCAGGTATCCAATTAAATCAAAATCCTAACAAACTCCTGCAGAAGCTGAAGAAGCAAAAAATAAGCAAAAAAAGACTCCACAAGAAACTACTTGAGTTTAGCTCACATACTTTCAGTGACTTCAGACAAGTGTGAATACAAAACATGCAAATTAGAAAAGTGCCTTACTTTAATTTTTCAAAGTTCTCTGGTTCCAAACTCCATATTTCCTCAACCTGTGCTCCTCTACAACCTGAAACAAGGAAGGATACAGGTTTCTTCAATCACTCCACTTAAAAAAGACAAAGCCAGAAAAGACAGCCTCATGAAAGAGCTATGGTAACATCTACAACTTCATGTCCAGGTTATAAAAAGGTACATTTACAGTCTTTAACACTTCATAATTTAAAAAAACCCAAGCCAATCAAACAAGACAGGTTAAGAGAAATTATTTCAGCAATTTTTACTGTGTATGGTGATATTGTCTTTATAGCATCAATGCATTTAAAAATTAAACACAAGAAATTAACACTAATTAGTCACTTCATGTCCTCTGTCAACAGAAAATAAAACTGTTTTAAAACACATTGTCAGCTAGTCCAAAGCACAAGTTAAAATATTTATCTCCAGGGAAGGACTACAGGTAGTAGGCTGAAAATACCATAAACAATACATATAAGTAAAATACTTGTGTTAGACAGAGCCCCAAAAGTTCAAGTACTTAGTATGTAGAAGAAAAATCTATTGGCTAAATAGAAATACAAAAGGAGAAACATTCCTGGACTTCACTTGTGAGAAAAAGCCATGACAGAAACTATAAATCTATAAAACCGTTGTTTCTTTGACCAGATTCCTATGTAGACTTATCTGTTGCTATCACCATATAAGCTCTGTAAAGCCAGAGATATTAAATGCAATTCAACATAAAATTTAACGTTCCAAAAGGCAAAGCAGCCCCTGGCAGGACACCCAGCCCCTGGCCCAGCCCCGCAGCTCAGCCCGGCCACAACCCTCTCTCCTCCGCAGACAGGACCGAACACGCACCGGCCCCGCCGCACGGGCAGGGAACCTCCCGCCCGCAGCACG